CCCAATTTGGTCTGGGCCCGAGGTGGGCTTAATAGCCGGCGACTACCGTATTAAGGTTGGAGTTAGGGTTAAGTTTCTGGCCAGGCTTAAGATTGGTATAAAGAACAGAGTTGGTGTTAAGTTTAGGATTATATTTAGGTTAAGGCTTGGGTTCGTGTTGAATTTAGGGTGCAGGTTTAGGTTATTGACTGCTTCGCAGCCTTCGGTTCCTTCCGTCGCGGGACCTTGAGACGGATTATAAAGCTAGTCTGTATGTCAGGAGAAATAATCGCAATGACTAGAGCCTGTCATGCTTCTAACAACATGCAATTTCTGGTACTCAATAATCTGCCCCCACTAGGCGTCCAATATTCAGTTCAAAGTTCGATGTGGGTTCACTCTGTCGGCCAGGCTGGTTAAATACGACATCGACTGGAACCTCGAAAGGGGCTTGACGGTTTCCGCTGGACCCCAAGCGCCAGCTTTTGGCATTCTCCTCCGGCCATCGCCAAGGCTTTGTTATGCAGCATTTTTGTTCGCCTCACGTCAATTGTCAACTCGCTGCTCGGATCTGGGTTCTGACATACGCACACAGAAACTCTCGACTGTGACTATCGACACATACTTGCCCAGTGGAAGGGCTTATTGCAACTGCTTGGGGGACTGCCTTAATAATGAAAGACATCTCTCAAGCTGTTTTCCCTGATTAGAAAGCCTTCAAGCCATTAACTCTCATCTACTCTGGCGATCTCAGTCTACTAGGGGCAGGCAGTAATGACTCACAGGATGTAATGTTACAAGGGAATAAAGTCACTGAGTGCTGAGAAGGCAAACCTGTTTTAGTTTTAAAAAGATTAATTTTTCATGAGTATGCATGCCATGTCGACGTTTGACATTAGTTCCGGTTGTTCCATGACAGATCTACGGGCTCTCCTATCGACAGTTTTGTGGCTGAAAATGGTATGCGCACTCCCTCATGTTTATTCGATGGATTCGGGATCCATCGACAGTAGAATATAAGTAGTTTTGGAAATTAATTCCCTTGCGGCGTTATTTGTTGCTTACTTAAAAGATTTAAGTAGCCATTATTACACTGGCTTGTATGCTTGAAGGCAATCATAGAAAGGTGTTTTAGGATTTGGTGGAGATCTGTAGAGTTAGACCTTTGACGTCTTGTCCCCATGTCCGAATAATACGCGAAATTCCCGAAGATGGTTACCTATTAAGCGAGTTATTATCAGCTAACTTAGTTTTGATGATTAACCGCCAAAGTCATAATCGTTTTTTAGGTGTGTCGAACTCCGAGAGTATGTAGTGGCTCTTCCAGATTTTACTCGTTCTTTTGGGAACACGGAAAATTCCAATGCACGAATGGGAGCCTGATTCCATGGAGGGATTGGAATTTAACATACTCAGGAAGGCAGGAGCCACGAGCTGTCTGCCTGAGCAGGATATAATAGTGTTCTTTTTACTACTGATCCGGTGTTTCTTACGCCTGTCGACAGAGCCAAGCGTGTTTATGTGTTTTCTAGGTCTTTTGTCCGTATAGAGAGTACTGGGGGATAGCCTAGTTATGTATTCAAGCCACCTACCTCGCGAAATCACACGCGGTTGATCTATCGGCAAGAAGACGTTGTGAGGTTCAACTGGTCAGGGGGACGGCAACCCCTCAATCGTTCAAAAAACCCTCTACTCAAACTTAAGAGTAGGAAATACATTGAAATAATTATTCCATGGGCGGGTTCGTAAGGGAATTCTAATATTTAACTTGAATTACTGTACAGTAGTCGCCAGCTATTAAGCCCACTTCGGGCCCAGACCAAATTGGGCTTAATAAGCGGCGGG